ATTCATCGATTAATTCGAAAAAATAATCAGCCGATTCATCGATTTTTAAAATCGTTAGTTGCAGCCCTAGTTTATACTAGAGACCTGAATCCACATGTATCTAATGTTACAGTCAATTTTTGTACATAAGGTATTAAAATCAAGACAGAACCTACACTGCAAAAAATGAAAATCTAAATAAGTTATTTTTGCTCAAATTAAGTGCATTTTTTCTTGAATTGAGGAGGTAAGTTAAACACTTTGCCAATGGAACAAAACAATTTACATTTAAAATAAGAAAAAACAATTGCATTGTCTTATTTCAAGCGTATATTATGTAATTATCTTATTTTAGGAGTAAAAATACTCATTCCACTGCTCAAATTAAGGGTAAATACACTTAATTTAACACATTTTTTACTTATTTCTAGATGTTTTTTGCAGTGTATAATAGAAAATAATCTAGTTTCCTCCATTAAACTTCAGTAGATCTCTTTAATCATCACTAAAAACCTAAAATAAAGATTTATTTATTTGTCATACCTTATGTTCAAACCTATAAAGTTAGTCCAAGAGAAAATGTAGTCTCCGCTGAACACCATCCCGATGTACGTCACCAGAACATTCTGCAACGTTCATAAATAAACGCAGTCAGAGTCAGATGGCATTTATCCAGAACTCACTGAAACAGAGCAGCTCACCTTAATGCATCCCACAATAGTGGTAGTTAATGCAGAGTTGTGTTGTGTACATAGTACAGTTGAATACATAAGAATAAACCTAGAAAAGGAAAAATGAAACATCCTGTTTGAGCGAGTTTAAAGATGGGAGGCCATCCAAGCAACATTTTGGCAGCAGGGCCATTTTAATACTCATCGTCAGGCAAGAATGGCATCCAAATTTCACCACTCATGCAACCACACCCATGAAACAGCGACCCAGATGCGAGGACATGCACATGCATGCGGGCAAAATCTTACCCCATGACACATGAGAGAACAAACTGGGAGAGGAAAAGCATGTCGGACCAGCCTTCAAACTCTGCTGCCTGCAATCAGAAACAAAGCCTGTTTAAATTAACAGGACAGGATATTTTTTACACATCTCTCAATATCAGGGTTCATTAAAAAGCTCAGAAATCACTTTAAGTCGTCTGATTATTTACTGGTTTTACATTTCCTAACCAAACTTCTTTAAAAACTTAAAATCAGCCAGTGATTTCCCATATGCTTTAACAAAGTAGCTAACTGTATCTCCACTGCGGTCATTTGGCTCAGAGCTGCTGCCATAATAACTCCGGTCGCTGCATAATGGCATCTTTGTGCTTCTCAGGCTGCTGGGGCCCAGCTGGACAGACCAGGGGGCCCCTGCCAAGACCCACCAAAAACCTTCCACAGCTCGTATTTATAGCATTGACTTTAAGACATGGAATGCTGGCGTCATTTTACTGATTCTTTCTGAATCCCCAAAGATTAATCCATCATTTTATGTAAAACAATCAGAAGAATCAAAGGACTCACCTTTTGCATGTCTCCTGTCACTTCAGCCAACAGAAGAGTCGGTAATATCATAAATAAAGCATTATAGTATAATAATCCATATTTCCCCAACTCCTATAAAAAAGAAGGAAAGCAGTATTTTTTAATAATGTTTCATTTCTGATGTCATGAACTAAATATTAGTGCAGCTCTGCTTCACATTTTTAAGCTTCTCGTTTTACAAAGACGCCTGCCGCCTTGTGCTGCACTAGCAGGCGGGTTACTCTAGACATCATAGAGCTAAATCTGGATCCTGCTGTAACGTGAGAGAGGAGCGAACTGCTCTCCTCACATAGAACGAGATAAAGCAGAATAAAACCTGTTCCTGCTTTAAGGAAGACAATCTAATCCGACGTTTGATTAGAGAGGAAAAATAGTGGCGCCTCGAAGGTATTTTATCAGCAAAAACATTCAAAACAACTCATACTAACTAAAAAAACAAACAAAACAACGGCTTGCTTAAATAATTACAAGAAAAAGTTCTGATTACGAGTTTATAGGGACTCAACGGCGATCAGAATTCCTTTCAAACAACGGCCACCATTCATGCTGCCGCCTCTCACACATACCTTTGCATCCAGTTTTTGCTTTACGTAGGCTCCATTGGCTGCAGTCAGAACGTCATTCATCAGAATGAAGACGTAGCCTTGCAGGTCAAAGGATAAGTCGGCACTTCAAACAGCAGAGATGAAAAGGATGAAATAATTAAAGATAATTCATTTCTGTCCTGTAGAGTTTAACTTTGGGCACGCTGTGTTACAAGCAGGGGAATCTTTTACTGCGGCGACCCCGAGGGTCAGGCCGTATCCGTGTGAACGTTAATCAACACAAAAAGCCGGCTTTGTAGCGAAGGTGGCTCCTGAGGGACACCTGGAAACAGTAGAGCTTACCTTGCGGCTATGAACGCCCCAAGGATCATTGTAAACACGGTTAGTTGGACCGGCCTGGAGAACTTCTTCCTGCCAGAGGTCAAACATAACCAAACTCAATCCTGCTAGTTTGAGCTGCAAACAATAAGCAGCACTACTGAGCAACATGTGGAGAATGTGGCTTATCTCGTTATTATAAACTCACTTGAGCAGAAATCCCTCAGCCAGCATAGTGAACAGGATAGAGAATCTCCTGAGGACTGTAAACATCGGCAAACTGCCCAAAGAGGACAGAAAGTACAAGATAATTACCCCCCCACTCCAGGTCATGTTACTCTGCCTGCTTCATGCACACAGGAGGTACTTTACTTACTTGAGCCTTTTGGTACCAAAGAGACCAGTGATTTGATTTCCCACATACAGGAGAGGTAAAGGAAACGTCTGAAAAGAAAAGGATTTTAAATTCTATTTTATATGAAAACCAGATAAAAGTGCAGCCACAGAACTAATGAATCTATAAATAAATTAGTTTATAAAACGTCACTGTTTGTAGCTCGGACTCAGGTAAAGGTAGGAATATTCTAAGAGCCCCTATACTGAGGGAGGCCCCAAAAGAAGAAGAAATGTTATTCTCCACGATATATTTCAAAATGTAAAAAGAAACTAAAGCAGAAAAGTATATGATCTCTGAGTTCTCCCTGATTTT